AGGAATCGCCCATGTACATGAATTAACTCTGGGCCCGTGATTCTTTGCTTTCCTGAGGTTTTTCTCCTAACAGAGCACCTTTAAAAACAGTGTCACTTATACATGCAGTATACAGGAGCTTCAGAAATTGTTCTTCTCTTAGCAAGAGTTGTTTTCAGTGTGCATGTCCCTGCTTTGTGCTGATGGGGGAGCTGTAAGCACACGCTTACTGCTCCAATTAGAGCTTTGTGCTGTTCTGCTTCAAACTGGATGCCACTACTACTTCTTAGCTGCGAGACCATTATGGAGCCAAATGTCAGAATGTGATTCAGACGCACACCCTCTCACATACATGTGCGCACACCAGCCCATCAGACACACTGGGTGACTTAGTGTCAGCCAGTAGTTGTGCCACGAAGGATGACTGTGTAAATAATTCACGGTGGATGTTATTCATTATGGATGTCTGATGATCTGCGAGAAAATGAATTATTGAAGCTGTTAGGAAGAGTGATTGAGCTCATTAACATGGAGAGTTGCCTTTTTTGTTTGATTTGATTAAAAAAAGAAGAGTTCCTCCCTGTCGTCTTACCAACTTGTCCTCTACATCCTTCTATTCCTTGTCCTTCTTAAGAAAATCCTTATTTTGTGAATGCCGTCTGGAATTCTTTCTATAAAAAAATTTAACAATAATACGTTTCTTAAAGTGTGAACCTATGATTTTCTTCATGTTGCAATGGTTTGCACAACAAAGGGCAGTTACTGTCGGGGAAAACCTGTGTTGAAGCTTGCTATTTACTTGCATCAGCCTTTGTAGAAGTTTGAACAGAGAGAGCAAAAGAGAGAAAGAAACAACAATCATCTGGTGAATTATTAAACTGCAAGGTCAGACGTACAGTTTTATCCATTTTATAAAAATGTCTGACTGAAATCTAAAAGTCTTCTGGTACAGCAGTGAGAGTAAAGTCATTTTTCGTCAGCTTGTTCTGGCATACAGTCCTTCATGTAATTCTACAAATCCCCCAGAAATGAATCATTTTAAATTATTCAGTAGCGTTAAAGCAACAACAGCCTTTGATGTTGTGATTAAGCATTTGGTAAAGGACATTTCGAGCACCTATATCTTTTTGAAACATGCACTGGAGTTAACCTAACTCAACCATCTCTAAACTCTAAACATCAGTTAAATGAGGCGGCAGTGGCTTTTACAAAATCCACTATTAGGGAATCAGTACAGGCTGTCATCTCTGTTTAAAGATGGTCCAACATAAATAAATTTGATGTTGTGATGACTTTAACCCATTTTCAGGCAGGCCTCTAATATGAGACATTAAGAGTAAAAGTTCTGGACCTCACTCATTTCTAAACCCTGGTTAAAGGTGTAGGACCTGTTCTCCTGCAGCAGAAAAGGCTACACTTCTGAAGAGTTTTCATTTGATACAATCAAATAGAGACATTTTGAAAACTGTAAAGGACTTTAAAATTCACTCTTTTGCCGTATAAACTGTTTATCTAGAAATATGGTAGATGTGTGTTGTGTTTAAAGATGGGGTTTAAAAAAGTAATCTATTACACTTCATCCCTTCCTGAGCACCAGCAGGCCTCATTACTAAGTGATGCAGTACTACATACTGATCAGAGAAAGAAATTTGTTACACTACTTATTGGATTACTTTCACATTACTATGTAAAATAACCTGAAATGCATTGTCATATAATCAGTTAACTATATAAACCTATTGTTACTACTACTCATTGGCAGGTTGGAGGTTCGATCGCAGGCTGCTTCAGTCTGCAGTTATCCTTGGGCAAGATGCTAACCCCGGGTTCTCTCCAACTTTTCCATTGGAGTGTGAATGTTAGATAGAAAGCACAGAAAAGGTGCTGGTATGAGTAAATGAGGCAAGTTGTATAGCTTGCAAAGAAAAGCATCTGGACTTCTTTAAGTTGCTTGAAGACGTTTCACCTCTCATCCGAGAAGCTTCTTCAGTTCTAAGGTCAAATGGTGGAGAGTCCCAGATATAAACCTAGTGGGAGTATCCAAAAGGACCCTGATGATCCTCTAATCACATGAGCCAAGGTGTGAAACTGGGTGTGGGTCACAATCAGCCAGAGTTTCGGGTGAGCTCTTTGTGAAACCTGGCCCCACCTTATCATGCGAATTCCTGAGGTCAGATGGCCCAGGATGTGAGTGGGCGTTAAGGCGTCTGGGAAGGGATCTCAAAACTGGATTATAGATGGCAGAGAGTTGGTGTCGTAAACCACCGCCTCTGTTCAAAGATGGTCGCTCACAGTGGACATAGATGGCTTCTTTCACTCCTCTTTCAAACCATCTGTCCTCTCTGTCCAAAATGTGAACATTGGCATCATTGAAAGAGTGACCTTTGACCTTTAGATGCAGATGGACAGCTGAGTCTTGTCCTGTGGAGGTGGCTCGTCTATGTTGTGCCTTGCGCTTGTGAAGTGGCTGTTTGGTCTCTCCAATGTTGTATAAGCTGCTTTGAATGCTCAGGTAGAGTATAAAAGAGCTATTTAAGAACCATTTCATTTATATATTTATAAAACACAAAACTGACAACAAAAAGTAAAGATCAAACAGCACAAAAAGAGTTTAAAGCAATGATTTCTCCAATTCTGTTTATGGGTTCTTGGTTAGCGTTAGCACACTGTCTGTGCAGATGTTTGCCAAGAGCCAAAGTTAGCATAATGGACGCAGCTTGTCTTTTGTGCATATTGTATAATGTGCATAATGTGCATATCTCCACTCCATAAACGCTGGAGGCCCCTCCACCATTTCCCTTCTCCTGGTACGCAGACATTTGAAGATCCTTTGCAACACAAGTAACAATTTTATTTTAACAGTGATGTAATTACTGAATTTTATAGAGCGATGTGTTACTTTAGCACATTACTAGAAAATGCAATTTGATCACAATCACACATTCCAAACATTGCTTGTGTTTATAAAAAAACTTTCTGTTTATCCGACTGGTTTGCAGGTCCCCAGCCACCGCCTACAGGTTATCCAAGGCGTTCCTGAACCTCTTCCTAGTAGGACATGCCAAGAACACCTCACCCAGGACACTAAGGAAGCAGATCCCCAAACCACCTCAACTGGCTCCTTTCATATGGAGAAGTGGCTCTACTCCGATTCCCTCTCAAATGACTGAACTATTTCTAATGGAGAGGCCAGCCACCCTTCAAAAAGAAGCTCATTTCTGCTGCTAGTCTCATTCTTTTTGTCACTACTCAAAGCTTGTGACCATAGCTCACGGTATGAGGAATTAGGTCAACTAGCAAATTGATAATTTGGCTTTTATGCCCTCACCACGAATTGCTACCTTACATGGAATATGGCCCCGTCCACCTGGAGGAGGTGCTATAGGGGTTGACTGTCCAGCCTGGTTGTTATCTGGAACAACATTACACACCACAGAATTATTCTTTAGTGTTATTCTTTACTATTGTTGTCACCATGGTGACCACATAGCTGGTTATGGCCATGTTTCCAGGGAAAGTGATCGGCAGATTTAAATGAACTGTTTGCTATAATAGGAGAAAGAAGCTCATTTGAACCTTGGATCCACTCCCCAAGCATTCTCCTTCTTCTCCTGGATAAGCTGTTGCTTTATATCAATAAACATTTTTCATTCCCATTTAAGGTTGTGGTCCTTCTTATCGGAAGAGAAAGGATGGTACTTATCTTTATACTTCCTTTATTTAGATACATCTGGAAAGCTTTTTAGTAAACTTAAATAAATATGGGAACAATAAAAACTAAAAATTCACACGTTAAACTAATATTTTGTCAATTATTTTTATTAATTTATTTATTGCATTCAGAGGGAGACACACAGTTTCCTGTTGTTGCACAGAAAATCTAGAAATAACGCTCTAAATACATTCTGCTTGGCGTCCAATATTTAGCCCTAGGGAGCTTCACTGGTGTCGGTTGTCACTGTAGGGACAGAAGCTGCAGCCAGCATCTGGTTTTCTTGCAGGATTAGCCTTGCTGTCCGTGATAATGAAATCGGTGCAACAACCATCCAAAGATCAATACTAACACTTCATTTTTTCAAATATTTTTGCACAGCCCTCTGTTGCAGAAGGAGATAATTATGGTTATTTAAACAGTGGACAAAGCTTGTGTATGCAGTATATTGTGTGAAACAATGACCGACGGTGCTGTCATTGTTTATTCACACAAACAAAAAGTCACCTGTCAGGAAAATATAACCATGAGTCATTTTAAACATTTGAACAAACCAAAGCTGCTGATGAGGACTTTGACTTTATGTACAAAAGCGCTCGCACACACACACACACACTCTGCTTAAACAAACAGACAGTGTGCCAATCCAGCCCAATTCCCTGCACACTCGCTTACATCAGTACAGAGCCATACTCACACCTACAGACACCCTGCGTTACTGTGTGCTATCAAAGCGATGACGAATGGCGTGCATGATAGCAACACGCTCTCCTCTCTGTCTAACCTTTCTGAAATACTCGTGACA